AAGCCGCTGCCACCAGCTGATGACCTTCAACTTCTGTGGGAACCAAATCTCCAAGGCTGCCCTAGAGAACCTGTTGCGCCACACCCTCGGGCTGGAAAGGTTAAAGTCAGTGACATACCCTGTCCCCCACGAGTGTTATCATGGTGATTTTGAGTATATCTACTGGGAGAGGTTTCTCCAGCTTCGGGCTTGGCTGATGGAGATACTGAGGGACACTCAGGCCCTAAGGAAGCCCGAGGTGATTCTCTTCCGTACCCTGCCCTGCAGTACCTGTGGCAGCAGGGCGTCCTATGACCTGGAGCCCAGTCCGTGCTGCTGTAGGAGGTTTGGAAGGGAACCGTGAGAACCATGGAAGTGGTTCTAATGGAGGAGCCAGAAATAAAGGGTACATGAGCTTACAGGGTCTTGTTTCTCTTCTTGTCAATTAGCCTGCTCTCAGTTTGAAACGCAGGGATCTGCAGGTACTGATGTAGGGAACAAGAGGCATCTTAGGAATTCTGATCCAATTGAGTTCCACTCCACGGAAGAGGAAGCTATGAAAATATATAGTACTGGGGAAGTGTGGGTTTCACGCCATAATACCACACTGCTGGGAGGCCAAGGTGGGGGCAGATTGCTTTATCGGTCAGGTTTAGGTGTTCAGGACCCTTAGTCTTTGAGCAAAGAGTGGAATCCCCCATTCTTTCTATAGAATAAGAAAGATAAATTAGATTGGGCTCATAAATTATGTAATCATTTGAGAGAACTTAGCGGGGGCTATGTTGGGTGTCATTCCTGAGTCCTACTGAGGCAGAGGTCCCAGTCTACTGAGGGTCACAGTCTGAGCAGTAAGGTTTGCTTTGCCCAGACCCAAAGAGTTTGATGGTTGCTGTGAGTCTATTGGCTGAATGCCTACGGCCACTCAACCTTCTGGCCTGGGCAATAAAGTGAGACTTTTTGGTCCGCAAAGAAAATAAAAATAAAATAAAGATCAGATGAGTATTATCGGATCTCATTTCCATTGAGGATTTCCCTCTTTTAACTTCTCTACCTTTGTGAATAAGCCTGCTCTGCCTCATTTCTGAATGGAAAGTCAATGCCAGCCCTTCTTGGGAGGGGTGACGCTTTCCCAGATATTATACTTTTCATGGGTTCCCTCCCTGTACTGAGGGAAGGCCCGCTTCTCTTCTCTCTGTCCCACAGGGTAGATGTCCAGCTTGAAGATGAATTCCGTTTCGCTGAAATATTACTTAACATCCATGTTTAATGAAGTATTTCTTTCAATACATGTCATTCATCAATTAAACCATATTATTATTTCATATATTGTGGGGGTAAGTAATTCACATCAATTTGTCATACTTTATAATTTCCTTTTTTCACTGTTGATTTCCGGAACAAACTTTAAGATCTTTTGTACTTTTGGGCAGTTTGTTTCTATCGATTCATGTAGATTGAATAATTTGGCATTCCCCCATTTTCCTATAATTTATTGATTACAAAATTACACACAGAACCATGCCTGGATGTCGGTGAGGCTCCAAGGCCTGTAATCCTAGTGCTTCTGGGAGGGTTCCTGAGTGGATCGGGATCGGCGTAGCTCTAGGAGTTTGAGGTTGGCTGTGAACGAAGCTCGACCGCCAACGGTCTACTCTGGCCTCAGGCAAGGCACAGTGAGAATGTGTCTCAAACCAACAAAACACTACAACAACATTTATAAGCAAAAGGTGACCCCTTAACACAACAGGACATCGGCATTGGACCCTTGGCTCAGAGCTGAGTGGTAAGGCATCGTGCGCTGCAGAGGAGCCCGACTGCCCCATCCGATCAGCAACCCCCAAGTCCACTTGTGGACTCCCCGAAATCCTCCACCACTAACATCCCACTGTTGAGCAGAAGCCATATCAATGATATGAACCAGAGACTGACATCAGTTCTGTGGACATCATAAGTAATTATATATAGCGTTTTTCCCCTTTTTTAACTTGTTGTTGAGATACGAAGTCCTCCCTCTGTTCACCGTGGCTAGAGTGCCATAGTGGTGTCACCATCATCACTGGGCAAACCTCAAACACTGGGCTCCAGGGATCCATCGATGCCGGATGGGGCCCAGCGTCTTCTGCAGAGGAAGGCTGTGCCTGTCAGGCCCTGCACAAGGCATGGACCACAGGCACTGTGCCAAGTGCCGCTGAACGTAGTTTTTGCTCATTTGGCTTTTTTTCCCTGTAATCTTGTTGCCACCGTTTAATCCACTAGCGGATGTAATGTTTTTCTCTTTTTCGTAGAGACATGGTCTCACCTTAGATCAGGCTTTCTGTAACTCCTGAGTGGGGCATAGAGGCTCACACCTGTAATCCTAGCACTATGAGAGGCTGAGGTGACAGGATCGTTTTAGGTCAGGAGTTCAAGACCAGCCTGAAGAGGAGCACAACCTCGCCTCTACTAAAAAAAAAGAATATAGAAAAAATTAGTCGGGCCTGGTGGTGTGTGCATGTAGTCCCATCTACAAATGAGCCTGAGGCAGAGAGATTCCCTGAGCCCAGGCACTTGAGGTAGCAGTGGGCTATGTTGTAGACACTCTGCTGTCATGGTCACTCTCATGATCAGTGGACCACACTGGTGTCCTCACAGGGCTTCCTGACACACAGGATCAACATCACTAGCTCCACTTGGTTTCTGACCCTGTGACCTAATGTCCTTTATAGTAAATGATTCTGAGCTCTGCACATAGGCTAGAAGAAAGATGATAACTGTCCCTTCCCCAAAACTAACTCCCAGGGAAATAAGAAAAGTATACACACAAGTATCAACGCTAAGGGAAAGATTCATAGGAACATGGTGACCTGAGCCATCCAAAGTGAAGCGACCATGAACACAGAAGTTTTGCACTCTGCTTAGACCCAGACTGACACCCAGGTGTTTGTAGATCTCGGTTACCCCAAGGAGCCTGCTGTCTCTTTAATAATATAAAAAGGTGCACACCAACTTAAGATGCTTCTTTTTCCTTTCTTTTTTTTTGAAACAAAGTCTCACTTGGTCGCCCTGGGGGAAGTGTAGTGCTGTTCATCATAGCTCCCTCCAACCTTAAACTCCTGGGCTCCAGGGATCCTCCCACCTGGGCCTTCCTCTCACTCCCATGGAAAGTGTGAGACACCATGCCCATCCCTTAAGATATTTCTTTTTTTTATCTTTTTTCTTTTTTTTGAGACAGAGTCCCACTCTGTTGCCGTGTGCTAGGGCGCCATAATAGCAGCCTAGCTCACAGCAACCTCAGGCTCCAGGACTGAAGCCATCCTCCTGCCTTAGCCTCCTGAGCAGTTGGGAGTACAGGCAAGTGCCTCCATGTCCGGCAAATTTTTTCCATATATTTTTAGTTGGCCAGTTAATTTCTTTCTATTTATGGTAGATGGGTAGAGACGGGTCTCGCTTTCTTGCTCAAGGCTGGTTTTCCCGGAAGCTATTACTAAAAATTATCCGCTAGTGAGTAAAAGCGTGGCAACAAGATAAGGAAAAACCAACTGAGCAAAAAGTAGTCAGCGGCACTGGGCACGTTGCCTGGTGGGTCCCGCCTCTTGTGCAGCGTGAAGCAACAGGGCCTCCGTCGTAGCAGAAGAAGCTGCGCGCCACCGGCACCACTGGATCGCTGGAGCCAGGTGTTTGAGGTTGCAGTGAGGTATGTGACACGG